TTCCCCCAAAATGTGGCCTAGTAACCCTAGGCAGGCTGCACACTCTTGTGATATCTCCCCGCCACACCGAACGACACCCACATCCATCATCAGCCACGCAAACAGAATATCATCCATCAGAAACTTAATGATCAAGTGCCCACGCCACCTAACTCTTGGATCACCTGCCGGGGTAGACGGATCCAGAATATAACGCACTCCGAACTAGGGTGTAAACGCGAGTGCTCACCACGCCGTGCACATGGACCGGCCCAATCCGAATCTTCGTGGACAAAGTTTGATTGACGCACCACACACTTGGGAGGTGGCGGATAGGCCATCTGACCCGGGGTGGAAAGCATGCCGGCGGCGCAAGTCGAAGGCATAGGCTAGACACAGAACCCCATACCGAGGTGCCCTCCTGACCCCAATTTACATGTCAATGATTGTAATTTGTAAGAAAACAATAGTTGAGAACTTTGAATAGCCTGGGTTGGGCTTCAGAAGAGAATGCAATCCAAATACACGTGCTGGAAAGGCCAAAGTTGACCACGTCACAGATCTCTGGAAAGCGCGCATGAGACAGGGTCAGGTATTGTCCCATAGCCGCTTCCACCTCAACGATACAGGTCACTCCTGGCATCGGTCATTGGTGCCCAGTGCCTGGAGTTACAGCTGCGCCTGTTCGGCAGGAAGCATGCCATTTTCCACTCGACCCCTGTTGGCACAACGCACGCATCTCCCCAGATACAACGCCGGGGTCCGCCCGCCGGCGTCCCCCCCACCCTTTCTCCCGAAACTACATGTCCATGGGTAGAGAGGGGGCGGCCAACCCCAAAGGGCTATTTTAAAGCCGTGGAGGATAGGACCAAAAAAGGGCCAAAAATCACCAAAAGCAAACACTCTCAGTCTTCCCCAGGAATGCCCAACCCACATCACCTTCACCTAAGCATATTCTATCTGAGTCAAACTTTCCAAATCTCAAAGTTGGCTCCAATCACACTGCTGCCTGGCGGAGGGCAGGCGGCTGGCGGCCCGGAAACTGAAATAGCCCTTTTCGTGCAGAGTCCCCAAGATAGAAGCTCATTTAGAACATTTTCTTCTCAATATTATTAAACAGCAATTGAAGAGTCGATACAGCCACGGTACAAAGGATTTTCGTATCCAACTGGAAATGGGTCCTCGTGCTGACCATCCACAATCTGAAGATCTCCCTCAACACAAGATATTCTGGAGGGGATGACACAGGACGTTGTCTACTGCATAACTTGTCGTATGGCTTATGCCTAGCTCAATACCGAGATTGTACATCTTAACACGCCTCAGCAGCCTCGCCACAGCCCCAAGTAGAATTTACACATGCACAAACTCACGCTGCACATGTGCACATGTGTTATATCCTGCACGGACCCGTAACAGGCCTCATATGGTGTTCCTACACGTGCCAACACATACTACTGCTACAATAAACAGATTGCACAATGGTTCAAACCTTGAGGTGTCCTCCAAGGTCATGGTCAGAAAAATCGTCCAAGGTTGCCTGCATGTCTCGTCCCATCAGCTCAGCATATTCTAGAACCGGACAGTCTACCCCTCAATGCCGGCGTAAATGCGTGGCAAAGTGTAATTCTATTAAATGCTGCTGCTTGTACATGTGTGCTGGGACCTGACCGGCCTATAGCTATCCCTCCAGAATATCCACTTGCACACACCCCCAACCCAGCGGTGGGCCCAAGAGAGATATTCTAAACTGGGTCATGCTCATCCTTGGATTGCATGCTGTCGAGTATCAGGGTATTCTGCTATTGTTTTTACAAATATACACACACTACATTGGCATTTGAACTCCTACAACCCTTGCTCTAGATTACTCCTTGCCATGGCATGGCACCCTGACTGCAATTGCTCACAGTGTATTCCTAGGTAGCACAAAAGGGACTGTTCCTGCGTGAAATTCTGTCCATTTTATAGCCATACAAGCTGAAAACCGAATCTACTATTCATGCTGCCCTGCACTGACTTCCGTCTTCCAATCCAGAATATTCGTTACCATGTCGACCATTCCCATACCCATGGAAAACACTATATTCTGCATTCCTGCCCAAAAGACCACCCATGCCTCGTACTCGTGTACATCCACTTCTGAAAGTGTTTCCTAAGCTGTCTCACGGGCTTCAAGCATGCTCAACAAATCTGATCTGCCTGTCTTGAATAAACATGGACGTACCGTGCACCCCATACCCATGAAGGATCAAGATATTCTGGAGGGGGCTTTTGAGCACTGGCCAATTAATGTTGCGTCTACCAGTGTCTGTGACGTCTAATCAAAACAGCTTCCACTCCAAGCAAGGTCCAAACACCCCCCCAGAAAGGCCTTTTGAGAGTATCCGTGATCCTCCCAAGACCAAGTGGCACTTGGCAGCCAGACTAAATTGTGGATTGACATTCCGAGGTGTGTAAATGCTTCCAAACTTGTCAGAACAGGAATTCACATTTACATAGAGCGACTGCACTCCAATTCAGGAAGCTTTGCACAGTATTCATTCACAATCAGAATATACCATCTCGTCTGACCCCCCCCGGCCTGGTACCCTGCACACACTATATTCTGCAGGTCCTGGTCATGCACTGCACTGAACATGCAAGCTGTCTCACTGCCAGATAGACTAACATCCAAACGATTGTGCTCTTGTCAAGGCGCTCTTCGCTACGAAACGCGCTCATCTAGAATATCCGTTGCTTGCCCAGGAGGGCACGACACCCAGCAGCCTACTATATTCTGCCTCAGGCCAGTATCCAAAAACCAGTCGTCTATCCGCGCAGGATCTGTGGTATGTGCATATATCTCATGATCCTACTCCATCATCAGACCCAAACAGTTGTTTGAGTCTCTTTCCAGAATATCCCCCACCCTGCCAGTCATCCCGATACCAAGCAAGCAGACAATATTCTGAATGCGCATGTTGGTGGCTGGGTTGGCCAACCCTAAGAGTGTTGCTAGTGGACAGTAGTATTGTGAGGTGATACCGCGTCATTGCAGTCCATATTCTCATTGTCCAAGCTCCATGTAGAATATCCGTCACCGACCGCTCCCACCACTGGCACACAACTGAGGCAACATATTCAGGATCCGCACCTCCAGTCTTGTGTATGCTTGGATTTCGGTATCAACTTTGAATCTTATGATTTGTAACCGATTCTACTACTCGCTCAGACATTCTACGTTCTCTTCATGCCCATGGTGAATATTCGTCACTCACACTTGCCAGCATGGCATAGAGGGGACACTTTTTATTCAAGGTGGACCCATTTAGGATGCTACCGGCCGTGTCGTCTGCACCATCGCTAGTACATTGCAGTTGAAAGTGTATCCACACTAGTTTGGACCAGTTGACATAGTTTCAGAGCCCATCCTGAATACACGTCACCACAAGATGCCATGCTGGCATCGGTGGGACACAAGATATTCAGGACGGGGTCCAAACGAGCTGGACCCATACTAAGACTTGTCACAACACATACAACATGCCTTTGCTAAAGTTGGTACACCAGTCAGCGGGACTTGAGTGAGTTGTAGTGCCCATGCAGAATATTTCCTGCACGGCATGCCAACCTGGCACCCAACAGAGAAGCTATATTCTGGAGGCGGGCCTTTAGGTTTTTCCAGCCCCCATTCTTTGTATCAGCATCTTGGTCTGTCATTTGGAGTTGAATGTACCCAAGCACGCGTGACCAGGCGTGCGCCAGGTTACCCTCTCGGATATTCGATCTCATGGCATGGTCTCCTGAGGTCCAAGGGACACACTATATTCTGGATGATGAGATTTAGGCAAACCCTCACTATGCACACTGTAGTGGGTCTTACTATGTACAATAGACACTTATAGCACATGGTAACAGGGCATTCACACCAGTCTATTTGCCCATCCAGAATATACACCCCCCCATGCCATACCAACCTGGCCTCCTGCAGGCACACTATATTCTGGGCGTCCATGGTAAGGACTTGATGTAGTCTGCAAACCCTCACATCACAAGGCATAAATTTAATGCATGGATGCCACGCGCTTGCACAACACTTCACACCACACAGGTGACCATCTTGAATATCTGCTACCGTGGCTACCCCTCCTAGAAGGTATATTCTGGACTCGAGGTGCAATGAAGACCGAGGGCTTCACTACTAGCAAACCCGCTGATGTAACACATTTCCAGGTGTTTGCGCTCCAACACAAGGTGCAAAATGTGCATTTGCATCCTTTCCAGAATATCCGTGCCCACCCCCCCTGACCCATGCCAGGAGCGTGGAATATATTCTGGATGGACATTGTTGGAATGTTCCAACTCTTCGTGCTTACAATAATACGTATGAGGATGATAACGGAGGCACGGTGCTTGCTTAAAAGACAATCTAATAGCTCCAGCCGCCTCTCCAGAATATCTGCCCACATCAACCATGGCGGCCGCCAGGTCCAAGCCCAGATATTCTGGATGGCATTATAGAGGCTCCGAACAGTCAAGCGCCGGCACGAGCATCGACGTAGAACTAATGCTGAGTCGTGGGACGGCGCACCGTGAAAGGAGAAGCGTCAAACTCCCTGACGGGATGTGGGAGGGCGGCGGCGCCGACACCGAACTTGGGCAGAGGACGGATATTCTGAATTCTCACCTGCATGTGGCCGACACGCTCAGGGCGACACCTAAGAGCTCCAGTACATACCCTGCATCGATGATACAGAGGACGCGGGGGGGGTGTGGGACTGGATGTCACTGGCAGCAACTGTGGCCAGCGCAGCGCCCCAGGTCTCTGACACCCACCCACCCACCCCTTCCCAAGAGACCCCTCCTCCTGGCAAGGCGACGGTCAGGCTGCATTACATGACAGATTTTCAACAAATACAAAAGTACATCAATACAGAGGATACATTCCAGCATCCCAGGTGCCAGCAGCCCCCCGCCGGCGCTCCACGCCCGTCGCTCATCCGTCCTGGTCGCTGTCCGTGGTGATCGAATCCCAGTCGCTCTCCGGGCCACTGGAGACCCCACCGTCGGACCAGTCGTCGAAGGGCAGGCGGGGGAGCCGCGCGCGAAGGTCGGCATGCATCCAGTCGTTGAGCCGCAGGCGGACGGCGGACAGCGCGAGGTAGCGCTCCGAGCGCTGGCGCAGGAGGCAGCACCCGCCCAGGTCGCAGCACCGCTCCAGGTAAAACGGCAGCCCCCTGAACCCCAGCGGACCCTGAGGTCGCGTCTCCTGGGGACCCTCGCGGAAGACATACACGGCCACGCGCGGCAGCGTGCGCTGCGACGGCGCGTAGCGGGAGATGGGGAACCACACGCTGCGCCGCGCACGCATGGCCGCGGCAAAGGCACCTGCGAAGAGGGCCTTCGCGTTCAGGGGCCGGCGCCGGCCGGCGGTGCCCTGCCGCCGTCGCGCGACCTCTGCGTGCTGGACCCTCAACAGGCCGGCGGCCAGCTGGGCCAGCAGCATGTGTGCCACGCCCGGCTCGTTCCGCCCCGGCTGCTCGCGGTACTGTGACATGGCTTTGAGGGACATCTCGTACAGCACCCCGCCGACCTGCCGCATGGGGAGGGAGGGACGACAGGTGAGGCCGGCGGCCGCGCGCGTCGGGATTGCGCGCCTCTGCCCTCCCTTCTTCCACCCCACCCCCCCAAACGCACACACACACACACACACCTCGACGGCGTTGAGCCTGCCCGGCTCGGGCCCGCGCTGCCAGAAGCAGCGCGGGCCCGAGCCGGGACTGTGCTGCCGGGCGGCCGACTGCTCGGCGATGGCGTGACGGGCCTTGCCCCTCATGGCGTCCCCAGCCACGGGATCGGCCAGCATGTCCCACGCGGAGTCGCCGCGCAAGTAGCCGACCCACGCCCCGCCGGGCCGCGCCGCGCTCGCCAGCTCGCCTCGGCCCCGCCCCTCCACCCCGCCGGCCTGCAGGTACACCAGCTGCCGCAGGCGGGGTACCTTCCAGTCGAGGGGCTCGTGGCCGTCCTGCAGCCGGGCGAGGAGCGAGGGCGGCGCTGGGACGGGTGGTGGCGCGGGGGCGGTGGGGGAAGGGGGGGCACCGATCCTCCGCGACCCGAGAACACACTCCCCTGACCCCAGCTCCCACGCCTGACCCCACCCACCCACCCACCCACCCTCCCCAAACACGCTAGACCCTCAACCCACCCAACACACTCACGTATGGATGCGCCTCCGGTAGCACGTCGGGGTCGTGGCCGCGAAAGGTTAGGAGGTCCATGTGCACGATGGTGTGCTCGCGCGTATTTGTCAGGGCCTCGTACGCATACAGCTTCAGGATCGGCGCAAGGCACCGGGACAGTTCATGGGCTTGGAGCGGCCACATCTCATCCACAGGAAACTGTGCGCACGGGGGGGGGGGAGAGGGTGGAGGGACCGGCGCGCGTCTGCGCCGCCCGCACTCGGCCCAAGACGCGGGCGCAGGCCCGCGCGCTGGCGCGCCCAGGTGCGACCACCCACCCCATCCCACCCCATTGCACCGCCCGTGACTCACCGCCTGCACAAGCAGCTCTGCGACAGAGGCGAGCAGGACGCGCGCGGAGCCTTTGCTGCGCTGGACCCTGCGTACCACCAGGTGCATTTGGCGGCGGAGGTTTTTGAGGGGTGTCAGACCGCGGACAGCTTCGTGGCCCAGCAGCACCTTGACCCGGAACGCGTCCAGGCAGGGCGCGCCCAGCTGCCCCGTGCGCTCGGCGATGGTGCGCCAGTTGGTGGCGTGCCAGCGCTCCAGGTTGGCGTTCAGCACCACCGTCATGGCGCCCATCCCCCGGTAGAAGTGCTCCGCCACGCCGTGCGGCATCGGGAAGGGCCGCGGTCGCTCGACCAGCTGCGGGCGACGGGGAGGCAGGGGTTTCGGCAAGGGACGGGGTGGGGTGGGGTGGGAGGGAGGGGGAGGGCCGGCGCACGCACACAACACGCGGCGCGGCGCTCAGAGCACGACACACGGCACGGCACCCGACCATTAGAACCCCCCCAAAAAAAAACAAAAGATCCCCCCCCCCTCTCACCATGTCGTGCGCGGCCTTCCACTGCTTGGCATAAGCCCACCAAATCTGGAGCATGTCGGCCCAGGGCACGCAGCGCAGCTTGGTGCAGTCCAGCGCGCGGATGCGCTCGTTCACCGCGACCAGTGCGTTGGCGGCGCACTGCCGCAGGGTGAGCTGCGGGGGCACGCCACCGGTGCCGGACTGCGCGCGGAGCGGGATGCCTAGCTCCACGCGCAGCGGGTTTCCCTCCCGCGACATCAGCCCCAGCGCGGTGAACAGCTTGTTGACGACCACCTCGCCGCGCTTGTGCATCGTGCCCGGGACCACGCAGTGCGCGTTGGCGCCATAGGCCACCAGGGTGGAGATGGCCTCGTGCACCGCCGAGCCGTTGATGATGGGCTGCGTCTTCTTCACGTGGGCCGGCATGCCGTTGTAGATTATGAACTGCACCGAGTCGCCGCGGTAGCTGGAGGCCAGCGCGGCCCACTCCCTCCCGTGTCTCAGCACCTTGCGGCGGTGGCGGCCGACGAGGAAGTCGCAGACCCCCTCCGGCATCGGCGTGCGCCGCCTGGCCACAGGGGAGGTGGCGGCCCACACCTCGGAGGCCGGCGTCTGGCCCTCCACGCCCACGCCCAGCACCTTGCTGCCGCCCCAGTTGTAGAGGTTGGCGCGGCAGCCCCGGAACTGGCTCCGGGCCAGGCCGTCGGGCAGGAGCAGGGCCAGCCCGGCGCGCTGCATGTAGCGGGGCTCCAGGAAGCGCGCCGCGGGCATGCCGCGCAGGTCCAGCCTCTCCACATCGGCCCGGCAGAAGAGCCACTGCCCCAGGTCGTCCTTGCGCGTGACCCCCAGTTGCAGGTCGGCGCCGATCCAGAGGGCCCCGTACACGTCCGCGGCATCGGTGTCCAACTCCAGGTACTGGCCGAGGATGGCGTGCGCCTCGCCCACGGCCTGATCCTTGGTGGGGTCGTTGGCATGGTTCTCGTGCTGCGTGCACCGCAGCGGGCGGTGCCGCCGCTCGCACAGCGAGCGGCGCCTGAAGAAGCTCAGGACCAGCAGGCGGCAGTGGGTGGGCCACAGCTGGCGCACCTCCTCCCGCACCACCTCCGACTCGGGCGCCAGCACGTGCTCCAGGACCCGGTCGTCCTGCATGACGTCGGCAAAGCGCCGGAGCTCGTGCCGGCCGTACAGCTTGTTGCCGGAGCCCGGGATGTAGCACGCGCGCTCCGGCCGGGTGTGCAGCGAGTTGCGCATGTGCTGCGTGTTGCTGGGGGTGACCGACCCGCCGGTGTTGCCTGCCGCCACGTGGGACCCCAGGTCGGCGGCGGGGCCGTCGCTGAGGCAGTAGCGCAGCACGGCGAAGAGCACGCGGAACGCCCCCTCCGACGCCGCCGTGTCCACGTACAGGAACACCTGGTCGCTCGTCTCGCCCCCGCTCAGCGACCCCAGCAGCGCGCTCGGCCCGAAGTCGGCGGCGCGGCCCGCCCGCTTGCGCAGCTTGCGGATGCGGGGGCCCGGGTCCAGGGACAGCAGCTCGGTCTCGCCCGGCGCACGGTGGGAGTAGACCTTCAGGTTGGCGGGGATGCCGGACGGCGCCTCCCTGGACTCCGACACCGGCGCCAGGCACTTCAGGTGCCCTAACCCTAACCCTAACCCTTGGTGGGGTCGTTGGCATGGTTCTCGTGCTGCGTGCACCGCAGCGGGCGGTGCCGCCGCTCGCACAGCGAGCGGCGCCTGAAGAAGCTCAGGACCAGCAGGCGGCAGTGGGTGGGCCACAGCTGGCGCACCTCCTCCCGCACCACCTCCGACTCGGGCGCCAGCACGTGCTCCAGGACCCGGTCGTCCTGCATGACGTCGGCAAAGCGCCGGAGCTCGTGCCGGCCGTACAGCTTGTTGCCGGAGCCCGGGATGTAGCACGCGCGCTCCGGCCGGGTGTGCAGCGAGTTGCGCATGTGCTGCGTGTTGCTGGGGGTGACCGACCCGCCGGTGTTGCCTGCCGCCACGTGGGACCCCAGGTCGGCGGCGGGGCCGTCGCTGAGGCAGTAGCGCAGCACGGCGAAGAGCACGCGGAACGCCCCCTCCGACGCCGCCGTGTCCACGTACAGGAACACCTGGTCGCTCGTCTCGCCCCCGCTCAGCGACCCCAGCAGCGCGCTCGGCCCGAAGTCGGCGGCGCGGCCCGCCCGCTTGCGCAGCTTGCGGATGCGGGGGCCCGGGTCCAGGGACAGCAGCTCGGTCTCGCCCGGCGCACGGTGGGAGTAGACCTTCAGGTTGGCGGGGATGCCGGACGGCGCCTCCCTGGACTCCGACACCGGCGCCAGGCACTTCAGGTGCCGGCGCAGGCTGTCCACCAAGGGGCCGGTCCAGACAAAGGTGTCCATGTCCAGCATGTCGTCCACCAGCAGGTGCCTGGGGACCTCGCTGCCCCCCAGCACGTGCCCATCCCAGCCCGTCAGGAAGGGCGCGTCGCGCAGGTCGCCCGGGTCGGCGAGCGCCGCCCGCCGCAGCCACTCGGTGGTGGTGACGGAGGCGACGTCGTCGCTGCCGCGGATGTCGCAGGCCCGCCGGTGCTGATTCCGGACGACGTACTCGCTCACCTCCGACAGCACGCCCGCGTCGCGCCACAGTGGCCTGTGGTCTTCTCTGGCGTAGCGTGGGTGGGTGGCGGGGACGGTCCACCCCCACATGCCCCGGCCATTGACCTTCCGGTACACGCGACCAGCACCCTCAGTGTCCCAGTCCGTGTCCGAGGAGGCGGTGGAGAACTCCCCCTCGCCGTCCACGCCTGGCGGGAGCCGAGCCCGCTCGGCCGGCTGCCGCTCGAGACGGCCCGGCCGCCCCCGCAGCCGCCCGGTGGGGCGGTGGGCGCGCCGCTGGGTCAGCAGCGCGGGCCGCCCCGCCTCGCGCCGGAACGCGCGCACGGCGCGGGGGTCGGGCGGCCCCGCCGGCGGCCCCTCGCCCCGCGCCGCCGGGGGGGCGGCCGGGGTGTTTGCCTCGTCCTCGCCCCGGCCATCGGGCGGGGTCCGCGCCGCGCCGACCTGCTCCCCGGGCGGCCCTGCAGCGAGCCAGTGTTGCGGTGGCGGGGTTGGTTTAGACACCGGGACGGTGAGTTGCCAGACCCCACTCACCCCCCTGAGGGCCGCGCCGGTCTCCCCCCCGCCCCGCCGTGCCCCACCACCGACGAGGGCGTGCAGGCACGCCGGCGCACGCACACACAGGCCTGTTGCACACGCGCGCGAGGCGGTTGCTGGACCCGGGCACGCACCGAGCGACTCCGTGGCACGGGAGGACCTGGACGCCGCGGAGGAGACGCTGAGGAGCACCACCGGGGCGGAGGGGGCCGGCCCGGTGGCGCGGTGCCAGAACCGGGTGGGCCCGTACGGCACGCCCCGGGGCCAGAGCGCGTTGTAGTGGCCACTCGCCCCGTCGTAGTGCAAGAACTCGACAAACACCTGTCGCACGCGCGTGCCTGGCGGGGCGCCGGAGAGGTAGGTGTCGAGGCGGACAGGTGCCCTGCCCGCCGGCCTGCCGAGGTTGCGGACAAAGCACAAGATGTCCACCTGCGGGGACGGGGCGAGAGGTGGGGGCCAGCGGGTTCACAGCCCGGGGCAGAGAGGACACCCCGACGCGCACGGGCGCCGCCGTGCTGGCTCCTTCCCCGAGGCAGGCGGCCCGCACTCCGCCCGCCCTGAAGCACGTGCACACCCAGACACGCTCCCGCGCGACCCTACCCGGAAGCACTTGGCGGCCTCCGCGACAAACTCCGACGGCGTCCACACGCCCAGGGAGGGGCTGCCCATCAGCCACAGATAGTCCTCGAGGGTGCGGCCCGCCGGATCTCCCACGGGCCCTATGCACTCCCGGGCCTGCTGGGGCTGCAGGTGGTCCCACATCCCGCTGTGCCGGAAGACGCTGAGGAACTCGCTGCCCCGCTCTCCGTCGCCCTGGCAGGCGGCGCGGATGTGATCGCACACCTGCGGGGGTGGGGCGGAAGAAGGAGGTCTGCCAAGATGGTGGGGTGGGTGTGGGAGGGAGGGCCGTGCCGCGCGCGTGCCGACACGCCCCGAGAGCGCTCGCCCCCACAACACCCACCCACCCCCCACCCACCCCACCATCACCTGTCGCCGCAGTTGGGCCTGGCGCGTGTTCATCATCTCCAGGTACTCGGGGGCCCTAAGCCCCTCTCTCGTAGGATCCTTTCCATGGGCGAGCGAATGGAAGTCCTGCGCGTGTAGATGCGCACTGAGCGCGTACAAGAAGCAATTACCTGGGGAGACAGGGGGGGGTGGGGGGGGACACGGTGAGCATGGGGGTTGACGGCACGGCCAGTGCAAGGACGCGTGCCGGTGCCGACCGTGCGACCCCGCCGCCCATGGGCCCAAGCGGACGGGCAACTCCCGGCCCACCCCAACCCCACCCCCGACGACAACACCCCTCCCCCAAACCCCACCCCCCCGCTTCCCAATACAAACATTCCAAGCCAACATACCGTCCCCGCTGACCTCGACGCTGTCCATGCGCTCATACCCCAGGCTCTCGTAGTCGACATCGTTGACCAGGCCGGCGGCGCGGACTGCCTCGGGGGGGCTGGCCGCCCTGACCAGGGTCCTCGACCCCGCGTAGCACCCCGGTTCGAGGCCCGGCACAAAGGGCAGCGGCAGCTCTGCGGGGGGGGAGGGCGAGCGCGGGCGGAGGGGTGCACCCTGCGCGCGCGAGCGGGGCGCACGCCCGGTGAAGGGGTAGGGGTTGGGGTGCCCAAGGTTGTACGCCATCGCCAGGTCCATCTCCCGGCTGGATGGGATCGGCAGCCCCGCCGGGTCCCACAGGGCAGGCCCGGCCTCGCGCCCCGGCGAGGGCGGGACGCACTCGGCCTCCTCGCCCCAGTATCCTGAGGGGGGCCGGGGGCGGGGGCGGTCAGCAGGCGGCGGCACAAGCCCGGACTCCAGCGGCCACCTGCGCGCCACACCCAGCCCGGCGCCTGCGGGGAGCGCCCTCCCACTGCCGCGGCACCGCGCACTCACCATCGCCGTATTCGATTGGGTGGGCGTAGTCGGCGTCGAGGCCGGTCCGAAAGGGCGCCCCCCCCTCCGGCACTGGTGTGGACACGATCGTCATTGGGGCCAAAGGTCCGTGCTGCCACGGGAGCAGCGTCACGCCCAACCCCAGGACCCCGACCCACGCCGGGTCCGGCGCTCCCGGGAGGGGAACCGCGGCGACCTCCTCGGGCTGGGCCTCTGCGCGCACATGGGAGGGCGGGGGGCGGTGTGGTGAGCCGCGGCCGGCGCGATGGCAGGGGTGGGGCTGGCCGGCGCGACGGGGCCGGGACGCCCATGCACAGCCCGAGGTCCCCTGGCCCGCGCCCACCCCCGGTCACCCGCGGACCCACCCGGCAACCCACCCGGCTGCCCCGGGGCAGGTACCGTGTCAGCAACGGGCGGGGCGGGCTCCACGACCCTCGGACTCACCGCCCCGGCCGGCGCGCCACGCGGACCCCCCGCCGACCCCGCCCGCCGCGGGCTCGTGGACGGGGAGGCGGGGGCACGCGGCGCGGGCCCCGCCGCCGCCGTGCTGCCGGGCGGCGGCGGGGTGGGCTGGGACTGTGGCCCGTGTAGCACGCGGCTGTGGGGCGGCGTGCGCGTCGCCTGCGTCTCGGGGCCGGGCAGCCCAGAGCGCGTCGCCTCGGCGGGACCCGCCCGAGAGTCGGGCGGCTGGCCGGGGCCCGCCTCCTCGACGGGGGGGGTGAGCAGGGGGGTCACCGGCGACACGCCGCCTGTCGGGGTGGGGTGGGGAGGGGGTCCGAGACCGGGGGTCAGGCGGCGGGTGGCAGCGCGAGGCCTTGCCCAGCATGGCAGCTGGCCTCTTAACCCCCCGTCACACACACGCTCACACGCTCGCAGGCCCACCCACCTTGGACGCCGGCGGCGGCGGGCTGCGAACCAGGCTCGGGCTGCTGGCTTGCCGTGGTGCCGGCGGCGGTGGCGTCGGCCTTGCCCTTGCCGCGGGGCGGCGGGTCGGGGACGCGCGGTGGGGTGGGCTGAGGTGCCGGCCCCGACCCAGAGGGCGTGGCGCCAAAGTCTGCGCGGGGTATGGGAGGCGCGCGGCGCGTGGCCCCTTGCTCCACCGCGGCGTGACCAGCACGTGATGCCCCGCCCACCCCGCATCCAGGGGCAGGCATGTCAAGGCGTCGCCCCCGCCAGAAGCTTGGCAACCACCCACCCCACCACCACCCCTCCCCCCGGCCTCCTCCACTCGTCCTCCCGACATCCCGGCGCACTCCTCCCCAGACTCCCCGCCCCCCCCCCCCCTCCCTGAGCAACTCACCCAGCACGCGGGGCAGTGCCCCAGGCAGACGCGGGCGCTTGGTCGGGGATCCCCGGCCGCGCCCCCGCGACGGCACCCCGGCGCTCAGGGGGGGTGCGACGGGCAGCAGGCCCGGCGCTGGCCTCTTGGACGCGATGGCGGCCCTGGCGGGGGGGGCCGGCCCCCGCGCGCTCGAGTCCTCTGGCGGCGGGGACCCAGCCCCGTCGCCGTGCCCGGCTCCCGCCATGCCCGCCGCCAGGCTGGGCCCGGCCGGCGAGGATGCCCCGTCGGCGCTGGGTGCCGGTGCTGGGCCTGCTGGGTGACCCGCCGGCGGGCCGGCAGCAGCTGGCATGGCGGGGCCTGGGGGTGCGGGGGGGGCTGGAGGGCCCGGCGACCCCGGTGGCGAGGAGGAGGGCCCCGGGGCCGGGCGCGGCGAGGCGGGGGGGGACGGCGGGCGCGGCGCGGAGGCGGGGGTGGGGCCTGGCTCCGCTGCGGGCGCCGGGGCTGGGGCCTGGGGGCTGGTCTCCCGCGGCGTCGAGCTGTCCGTGGGCCTCGCCACCCACCTGCCGGTGGTGAGCACCAGTGGGCCACTGCCCCCGCTGCGCGCGGTGGAGGCCGCGGGGCCGGGGGAGGTGGGGCCCGGGTCGGCGGGCGCGGGCTGCTGGGCGGGCCCCGGCCCTCGCACCAGGTAGCGCTGGGCGATGGGTCCCCTGGCCCTCTTGGGTGGGGGGGGTGCCGGCCTGGGGTCCACCTGCTGCACCTCTGCCTGCGGCGCGGGTGCTGGGCCGTGGCGCGGTCTCAGGAGCGGCACGTCCTTGGTCTGCCGCCGGCGCGTGGCTTCGCCCCCCAGGGCTGCACACAGGCATTGGGATGGGAGGAGCAGGGGGCGGGGTTCAGAGCCATGTGCACAGCCTGATGGCGGGACGCTTGGGCCCCTCTTGCTGGTTGGCGCCCCCGCCCCCCTCCACACACACACATACACTAGACGCACCCTCCGCGGCAATGGCCATCTGCAGAGCACGGGTGGTCGCCTTGCCATGGAGGGCCTCGGCGACCCTCTGCACGTCGCTGCGGCCCACAGCCTGCCCCTCGCCCTGGTCGGGGTGTGTGCTGGCGCCCACCATGGCAGCAGCGGGGCCGTGGTCTCCTGCAGGGGGTGGCCCGTCGGCGCCGCCGGGACGGGGCGCGGGCACGGCGACCCGGGCGCCAGGGCTCTGCTGCCGCCCGGTGGAGGCGGGGGGGGTCTGGGAGCCGTGCCCAGAGGCAGGCCCAGGCTGCTGCTCCTCGGCTGGGGCAGCCTCCACCTCCATGGGTGCAGGTGCAGCCTCCTCCACCACTGGCCTGGAGGGGCCAGCCCCCTCCTCCTCCTCCTCCATGGGCCTGGGAGCTGCAGCCCTGCCCCCCTCCATGGTGGCGCCAGCCTCCCCCCCCTCCCTGGTGGCGCCAGCCTCCTCCTCCACAGCTAGGCCAGGCACCAGGGGCAGCCTGGCCCCCTGCACAGAGCCATCCCCCTGCTGGCAGGCAGGCCCCTGCACAGAGCTGGGGCCCTGATCCAGGTAGCTCAGACCCAGGGACTTCAGGTCCCGCCGACCCTTGGTGCTGGCCATGACCACAGGGGGGTCGTTCTTCCCTGCACCATGGGTGGGAGCAGGGGTGCTCAGCAGGGCTGGCCAGCAGGTGGGGGGCGCCTGTGCATACACCAGGCCAGAGGGTGGGAGCTGCCCTCCCCCCCCTACCCCTACCACACACACACACACACACACACACATGCCCCACACCCCACCAGACTCACTCCCTTTTGGGCGACCTCGGTTCTTGGGGGGTGGAGCCTGCATGCCAAGCCCAGCCTCTCCCTCTGGTGCCTGGGGTGCATGGGTGGCCACCAGCCTGGCTCTCATGTCTGCCACAGTTCTCATAGCTGGCAGATCTGGCAGCTCCCCCACCAGGAAAAGCTGCATGGACCTGAGGAAGGCCTCCCGTGGCCCAAGGACATCCCGCAGCTGCAGGAGGGGGGGTGGGGCAGGGTAATGGGCCTGGGCTCAGCCCCTCTGGTGTGATGGCTCACCAGCAAGCAGGCCATGCATGCCAGCCATGCCTGTGGGGAAGGGGGTGCACACTTTGAGCCCCATCCTGCCAGCCCACCCGTTGGGCAGCCCGCTCAGCTCGCTGCTGGTGGCCCTCACCCACAGCCTCCACAATGGCCATATCCCATTCGACCCTGAGCAGCAGGAAGAGGGGAGAGGGGGACGCAGGGATGAAGGTTGGGAAAGGGGGGATTGGGTGTGAGGCTGGGAGGGAGGGGGGGTGGACCCTACACCCTAGTCCTAAGCCCAGCATGCCTACACCTGAGGGGGGCAAGCTGGCCCAACATGACCATGGGATCTGGGCCCGACCCATCCCCAGGGCCCCACCTCCCCTCCCACCCCCCCTGGCCCACCTACCTGAGCTCAGGGGGGTCAGCCACTGCCGCCATCAGGCGCACCACGTACGTCCCCTCCGGTCCGGGGGCACAGAACACAGGGATGTGAGCGATTTTCCTCCGATTCCAGGGCAGTATGCAGGCTGGCTGCTCCCTCCGGAGCAAAGTCCCCTCGTCTCGTTTCTGCAGGCTCCATGCGTGAAAGATCCCCATGAGACTGCGGGATGCGGGGTTGGTAAAGGGGGGGGGGGGGGCGCGCGGGCCGGGGTGTCGGGCATGGAGGCATGGACGAGCGCGATCCGCCCTGCTACGAGCCTTCCCCAGAATCACCGGATCCCAGAAGTGTCCCCTCACACGGGCCCGCGGCGGACCTTAGGGCTCGTCTGTCATTTCTCACAGATCCTGTGATCTTCTCGCAGAAGGTATTGATGGCCGCTCTGGACTCGGGGGGGTAGGTGGCCGGGTCGCACCGCGTCTCGGCCGGCTCGGGGACCCGGAAGCTCGGTGGGGGCATGGTCGCCATGGTTCAGGAAGGTACCATGCCCACAAATTCAGGGGGGGGCCATGAAAGGGATATCCCTGCCGAAACCGTTGGGAATCAAGGGCCCTCAGCCTGGGCTAGCGGTCTCGTCCGAGGGAATCCGGGGGGGGGAAGAAAGTGGAGATGACGTGTACACTGATGCGCCCTTCCCAGACCGAGCCAGTGTCGCGCGAACGAGTTCATTGAGCTGTTTGTTAGCCATTATTAACTTGAAAAGATACAACATATCTTTTTCGAAGCGAGAGAGGCGGCCATCTCGCTCGTGGCCGTCACCCCACCCGGGCGGGCGGGGGGGGGGGGTGGGGGGGGGGGGGGGGGGGGGGGTGCAGGGTCGGGGTGTCGGGCATGGAGGCATGGACGAGCGCGATCCGCCCTGCTACGAGCCTTCCCCAGAATCACCGGATCCCAGAAGTGTCCCCTCACACGGGCCCGCGGCGGACCTTAGGGCTCGTCTGTCATTTCTCACAGATCCCGTGATCTTCTCGCAGAAGGTATTGGTGGCCGCTCTGGACTCGGGGGGGTAGGTGGCCGGGTCGCACCGCGTCTCGGCCGGCTCGGGGACCCGGAAGCTCGGTGGGGGCATGGTCGCCATGGTTCAGGAAGCTACCATGCCCACAAATTCAGGGTGGGGCCATGAAAGGGATATCCCTGCCGAAACCGTTGGGAATCAAGGGCCCTCAGCCTGGGCTAGCGGTCTCGTCCGAGGGAATGATGGCCGCTCTGGACTCGGGGGGGTAGGTGGCCGGGTCGCACCGCGTCTCGGCCGGCTCGGGGACCCGGAAGCTCGGTGGGGGCATGGTCGCCATGGTTCAGGAAGCTACCATGCCCACAAATTCAGGGGGGGGCCATGAAAGGGATATCCCTGCCGAAACCGTTGGGAATCAAGGGCCCTCAGCCTGGGCTAGCGGTCTCGTCCGAGGGAATCCGGGGGGGGGAAGAAAGTGGAGATGACGTGTACACTGATGCGCCCTTCCCAGACCGAGCCAGTGTCGCGCGAACGAGTTCATTGAGCTGTTTGTTAGCCATTACAGACTTGAAAAGATACAACATATCTTTTTCGAAGCGAGAGAGGCGGCCATCTCGCTCGTGGCCGTGCTTGCATCTGGCGACCTGGGAGAGTGGGCATGACCCGGCATTCAGTACTCATGCAGGGGTGCCAGGAAGTGGCAAGGACTCAGACCCAGCAGGTACAGTACAGGGCATCTAAAATATCACAGGGCGCCGCCAATGTCTACCCCTGCTGGGCCCTGCTAGCGGTTTTGCATGTGAAGGCTCCAGCACCTGGGAGTGCCTCGGCCTCTCATGCACACCATGGGCAGGTCTTCGATGCTCAGGGGCAGGAATCGTATTCTTCAGAGTCTATGTTATCAAATGACCCAAAGTGCACTTGGCTTCACCCTGTACTGGTGACTTGGTGGGCGACCAAACTTTGGGGGCAGAGGCCCAAAACTATGATCCCTGCAGACCCGCATGTCCTGCTCCAATGTGCAGTGCTCTCCCAGCCCCCAATCATGCAATACATACCTTGATGACTGGGGAACACAATACAGCTGAGATCAGGCCGAATGACCCCGAATCCAGAAAGTGGTCCCTCTTGGCCCAGAATGCAACGACCCTGGTTTATAGTGCAACCAGGAAAGTGTACACACCTTGCCATCCCGCCATGCCCATGTCCTGCATGCCAACCATACCTGTCCACAAACACTCCCCAACCCAGTTGTACATCACTCTACAGTGCACAAGGTGTGTAGAGCACCCCCTTGGAGGGGTCTCAAGTGCCATGCAGCCTCCAGAGTCACCTGGTGTCATGCTCGGCTGGTGTACTCCTCCCCTCCTGCAGACCTCTGGCGTCACCCCTCACCATTTCCCACTCCTCGAGCCTCAATACACGCGTCATGCCTCCAACAATCCAATGCTGGCGTTATTGTGGGGTGCGAGATCATTCGTGCAGGCTCGCCCACAGCTGGCACCAGGCTGGGAGATGCAGAGGTCCTGCTGGCCAGGGGTGCTAGCCCCTCATGACGAGGTCCCTGGCAGGTCCCAACATCATACACAGACTCTGCAGGTATGATGGAGATGCCATGCCCATCCTTCGGCCTTCTTCCTTCCCTCGATGGTCATCATGCCCGCCGCCACCATGCAGGACGACCACCAGTGCCGACATGGAGTGGCCGACCACCTCATTGCCTCCCCCCCCACTCGTTGATTCTGACTCTGCAGCCAGCCCCATGACCCCATGCATTGATGTTTTGAATGCCCATCAGCCCCCCCCCCCCCCCCTCTCCCCCCCCAAACACACACAAGCACACCA